GTTTCTTGTAATTTGTTATTTGATGGGTTTGAGTCAGTTTTTGTAACAGTAATATGGTACCTTTCTAATGCCGCTTCCTATATACTAAACATAAAATTTATTGTAACTATATATCTATGTCCTAAATAATGTAATGGAACGTGACTTCAGAAATATCTCTGAAGTCATTTTTCAACCTGACGACTCTGTATATATCAATACAGGGAGAAAAAAGCAGCCCTTGCTGAGTTTCTTGCAGGTTCTTCTCAGTACAAGGTCTCCCGCCGTAGTTTTGCGAACCGATGGCGTAGCTTCTTGACCTTCACAAGTGCTTGTAACAGCCTAGACTGAATAAATGACTTTTCATTTCATTTCAATTAATTATTCGATCGATGTGCTCTTGCTAATATGTGGTTATTCTATCCATAACTTTAACAAGATTCTAGTATGTGGACTGCAAAATGTTTAGGAGATGCACTAAAGTCTGAGATAATGTTTTTCGTTCAAGATGTAGCTAACTAGTATTAACCTGTAGACTATTTAAATAAGGGAAAAAAATGTTTATTACCATTTTCTTTTAATAACGTTTTCATTATAGATATACCTTAATTAAATTATTCACACGATATTGTATTGATAACAAGTCGGAAGGCGCCGGTTTCTGCAATACAGTTTTTTAAACTAGTGCAGATATCAACGCTACAACCTTATAGCTATTGTTAATATTACAACACTACAACATTATGCGAGGAGATGGCGCTGCCTTGCAGCTTAAGACAAGGAAAATTTCGACGCGGCTAATAGGGCCGTGGTAGCATAATGGTCAGTGCATTCGCCCGGATAGCGAAGGATGCGGGTTCGAGTCCCGTCCGCTGCCTGGTCCGCGTGGATTTTTTCTAGTAAACTTTTCTTTAGATTTAAACATCTAGCAGTTAAATGTTTAAAAAATAAATAAAATCATAATTACAACACTGCCAATGTGTAAACTAAATGTATAACAATTTAAAAGAAATAAACGTTTATTTATTTATTATTATTATTTATGTACCGTAGTACTTTGAACACAGAAGCTATCCTATTAGACTAGTCCAATCCAATTATTTTAATCTGAAATCGTTTGCTACTGTGAGCATGGTGCCTTCTATATAAGTTTTGTACACAGTACTCCAGGCACGGTATATCAACACCCGCTCCCTGATTCATGCGCTCCAACACCTAGCCGACTGTTGCTAATTTTTTTTTTTATAGCGAGGTAGGCAAATGACTCTACCCCACCTGATGTTACGTAGTAATAAAGTCCAAACGCGAAGATAGCTGGTATAGCAGTTATAAACTGCTACACCAACCATTCTCACCTTGCCGGCCTACAAAAATGCTTCTTCACGCCTCTCTTAAAGGACCCCAGATTATAGGAAGGAGGGAACACGTGCGCGGGTAAAGAATTTCACTTACGAATAGTTCGACAAAGAAATGAGTCCCCAAATTTCTTTGTTCGTGTAGGAATAGTGGCCACAGTAAGTCGGTGGCAACGTAGCCAATTAAATAATTATTAATTAATTAGCCGTGAGGAGCTCGATGGCGCAGGTGGTTAGCGCGTTCGGCTGCGATCGTTGAAGTTAAGCAACTTTCGCAGTGGTCGGTCATTGGATGGGTAACCAAAAATTTACTATCTCGAGCTCCTCCGTGCTTCGGAAGGCACGTTAAGCCGTTGGTCCCGCCTGCATTTGCAGTCGTTAGCACCCACCAATCCGCACTGGGCCCGCGTGGTGGGTCATGGCCCAATCTCCCTATTCCATCCATAGGGAAGGCCTGTGCCCCAGCAGTGGGGACATTAATAGGCTGATGATGATGATGAATTAGCCGTAGCCAAAAAAAACCCATTACAGTGACATGCACGGAAAAAAACAGGCAATCCTGGCAATTTTGTCAAACAGCATCAATTGATACCAAATTTGGATTTTGACCCTCTACTTCAAAGTTAGTGGTGGATGCCGCCTCTCCTCGGGTGAGAAAAATAAATTTTAAAAATAAGTACGGTAGAGTCTGTGCGGAATGAGAATGGGATTTAGATTGGAGGGTGCTGTAGTGCTTTTCTACCGTATTTGTAAGGTTTCACCCCTTTTAGACATGATTTAATACAAAAAAAACCGCAAGAAATCATAACAACAAACAAATCCGTATCAATACAAAACTTTGACGTTTAACAGATTGCTGTTTGATTGCCAAATATTTTTTTTAATGTTAGTTCCGTTTTTCGCCACGCCCATTCTCTTTCCACACAGACTCTATTATGGGAATGGAGTTATAGGAATGATTGACTAATTATAAGAAGCTTTTGTTGTGTATACTTTTTACTAAAAGTCAATAATTTTCGACTTATTCGGGAATGGACGAGTAAAGTTTTCAACAAGAAAAATCACGTTCTATGACGGTTTTACGTAACACATAACTCTGAAAATAAGAATTATATGAAAAAATAATATAACTTATAAAAAAATGGGTGCGTGTACTTATGTAGGCGCGTGAGAAGTTATCCTTCTTTGGCATCGTTTAAAATTAGTTTTTAATTGCATGCAAATAATTAATTACAATAAATTAATAAAAAGTCTGGAAAAGGACACAGTCAATAAAGTTCAGTTTTAATTTGAAAAAATAAATAAATAATCAAAATATTCAATTAAAATCGCTACTGAATATAATTTATTAGAACATATGTGATTTGCACTTGTATGAAACTCAAACACGTATTCCGAATATACAAACTAGAAACATGTGGATAAATATTATAAATATGAATACCTATAACTGTTACTTTATTACAAAAAATAAAGATGTGGTTTTTGGTTCTACTACACCAATGGTCAAGAGATGGCGCTGTAGTCTCCTGAATCGCGCTTTGGTTCCGTTGTTCCAGATTAATAAATACTTTTGATAGGCTTTCACAATGCAGTCGTTAGCACCCACAAAATAGAGATTCTATTTCTATTCTCTTGGTAGATTTTCTTAATGTGCGGTAAACACAAAAGTAACGCAACTTCATGCTGTTAAAATTTTGTGTTACGGTGATGCGCGCGCATCTTAAAATTTCACTCTCATCATTTTTTCATAACGCGCCTAAAGAAGTATAACTTCAAAAATCTAACAAAATACTGGATTTAAAATACTACTATACTAACAGAGTAATAGCTTTTTTTAATGTTGCTACTTCTTCGTAAAACGCCAAAACCGAAGGTTTCAAACATTTTTTACAAATGGATACCTCTCACTTAAGTAGTTGTAAGCCATAAAAATGTCACTTCGCGTTTTTACTGTAAACAATCCTAATGTGCATCATTTAATGCATTTCATCATCATCATCATCATCAGCCTATTAATGTCCCCACTGCTGGGGCACATGCCTTCCCTATGGATGGAATAGGGAGATTGGAAAATGACCCACCACGCGAGCCCAGTGCGGATTGGTGGGTGCTAACGACTGCAGATGCAACCGGAACCAACGGCTTCGGCACGTTAAGGCACGTTAGCCTTCCGAAGCACGGAGGAGCTCGAAATAGTAAATTTTTGGTCACTCATCCAATGACCGACCACTGGGAAAGTTGCTTAACTTCAACGATCGCAGCCGAACGCGCTAACCAGTTGCGCCATCGAGCTCCTCATAACAATTATTAAACACATAATAAATACAACATTTTACTTCGGATGTTGTTATTTAAAACTTTGTTGTTTGATAACAAGCTACAATTTATGAACATAACATGAATGCAACTCGTGATATTAATAAATAGATAAAAATTTACAACTTCGTTAGCGCGATGTAGTCCTTCTAATCCTTTGCAAATAAATAAATAAATATTTCTAACACCCACACCACTTAGCCTAGCCCCAAAGTAAGGACTATAAGGCTTGTGTTATGGGATACTAAGGTAAACGGATAGAATAAATATACTGTACATATATAAGCATTTTTTTATAGAAATACATATTAAACATCCATGACTGGAGTACAAATGCTCGTATTCATCAAACAAACATCTGTCCCCACCGGGATTTCAACCCGGGACCCCTCGGAGTCGGCGACACCATAAAACCCGGCGTACAAACCTTTCCGCTACGGAGGTCGTCAAATCATCATTATTGATGTAAAAACCGTCAAATATATAAGTTTAAACCCAGCTCTCCTGGTGTATACGATGCCGCCGAGTTAATTAACTTTTATCGCACTTTATTACAGTCCGACTATAACTTTGCTCCAAGTAACTCCCTAAGGAATTGCAGTTGCAATAACAAAGCACAACTGTATTTAAGATAAACTCTTCGTAAACTTTAAGCTTAAGTACTGTGGAAATTAAATAAATACTGATACAGCTGAGGAGTTCAAGTCAAGGTTTTCTTGGGCGCTACTTGAATTGCTTGAATACGAGCGTGGTTAACGGTTGAGAAAATTAAGCTCTTGCCTGAAGTTGTACCAAATAAGAAATGATCATATAACTAGAAAAAATTCCACGCGGACCAGGCAGCAGACGGGACTCGAACCCACACCCTTCGCAATCCGGGTAAATGCACTGACCAATTATGCTACCGCGGCCCTCACGGACCGCATCGAAATTCTTCTATATAGGTAACCCATAATGTCAAATGAATACTTAAGAAATGGCGCTGCCTTGCAGCTTAAGAATGGCTAGAAGAATTTCGACGCGGTCCGTGAGGGCCGCGGTAGCATAATTGGTCAGTGTATTCGCCCGGATTGCGAAGGGTGTGGGTTCGAGTCCCGTCTGCTGCCTGGTCCGCGTGGATGGACAATGTCCGTATACAGGATGCTAACGTTGACGTTTGGTTCTATCAACAATTCATAAAGAAACTGACCTGGGCGATTTGATCAAATCTTCCGAAGAGTTCGTTCAGGGTCTTCATGGGATCAGAAGCACTGAGTCTCTCCGAGAGCGGTGTGAAGTTGACGATGTTCGCGAACAGGATGCTAAAATTGCTGTTTTGTAATATTAAAAGTTCATAAAGCAACTGACCTGGGCGATTTGATCGAATCTTCCGAAGAGTTCGTTGAGAGTTTTCACGAGATCGGAAGCGCTAAGCCTCTCCGAGAGCGGTGTGAAGTTGACTATGTCCGCGTACAAGATGCTAACGTTGTTGTGCCTCTGGACGTGCATCTCGTGAAATCTGGTCTGCTTCGAGCTGTCAGCGCACGCGTCGGCCATCTTGAGCATGATGGATCGTTTCACCTGTGATAAAGAAAATGATAGAAATTAATACAAATTCTGGATCTATATCTCATGGATGTTTAATAATATAACTTTCTATATAAATAGACTTTTTTATGTATCAGTTTATGTGTACGAGACGACGGTTTTATCACGAGAAACAAGGATGAAATTTCGTAATTATATAAAATATAACTAGAAAAAATTCCACGCGGACCAGGCAGCAGACGGGACTCGAACCCGCACCCTTCGCAATCCGAGCGAATGCACTGACCAATTATGCTACCGCAGCCCTCACGGACCGCGTCGAAATTCTTCTAGCCATTCTTAAGCTGCAAGGCAGCGCTATCTCTTCGCATTATAGGTAACCCACAATGAATACTTTTACAAGTATTAAACATTAAAAAGAAACAGAAGAAAGAAAAGAAATAGCAATTATAGTTATAATTTTTATTATTTTAAAGCATGTAACTGCTTGATGTTTTAAATCTAAAGAAAATATAACTAGAAAAAAATCCGTGAGGGCTGCGGTAGCATAATTAATTGGTCAGTGCATTCGCCCGGATTGCGAAGGGTGCGGGTTCGAGTCCCGTCTGCTGCCTGGTCCGCGTGAAATTTTTTCTAGTTATATTTTCTTTAGATTTGAAATTTCATAAGTTCAGTGATATGATTTTATAGATTCACTTTTTACAAATAGTATCATTAACGTAGACAGTGGCGCCCTCCCTGAACTGTCACCCACATGCATAAATATCCTTGTCGCACTTTACATTTCGTTTACTGCTGTGTTTAATGCGCCGCGACATGAGCTAACTTCACAGCGGCCCTTAAGTTTGATTTGAACTCTTTAAGCGGTTTTTGTGTTATTCGGTTAGATATTAGTTTTATATAGCAGATTCACGCATTGGTTTCATAAGATAGTTTTTAAATTTGATATTATACAGCTATTAATCTTCGTAAGTCATAAGCGAATACTGAATAGTTTAGTAGAAATTGTAAGCAATCATAATCGTGTTTGAATTATGTGTTTTCAATCGATATTATTTGTGTTCCTATAGGTAGGAGACATTGATAGGAATAGATATATGTAACTATCGTATAGTTTAGGATAAGATTTTTAGGGTATAATTAAGCTACAAAGGCATAGACCGTTTTCGTTTGATACTATCATATTTGTTGATGTAAGGATTTGAATAACAAGTTTTCCTTGTGAATTTTTATTCCCCCTACAGGGTTTAGTACAATAAATAGATATAAATTAGGTATACGGGTCAAAATCATAGAGGTGAGCATTTTAAGTTTTCAAATATCTGAGAAATTAAGTTTTCGTTTGAAAAAACTAACAAGTGGAGCCTGTTGTGTCATTTGTCATGAACCTTTCCTGTGAAGAGGCACGCACAAAAATATATATTTTAGAAATTCCACCACTTAATAAGAATAAGGCACCAGGCACAAAAGTCTCTATTTTAAAATTACCTACAAGTTCTTCCACGTCCAGTCGTCCATATTACTCGACGAAAGGGTCACCACTGACCGTCCATTGGCTGTTAAAAGTGGCTGCTCAAATATTCCGGCGATCCTTATGAATTACTTAATGGATAAGTTCATTATTCTTTCATTAACTTTTTGGCGTGTAACTAAAGAGAAAAATGTATATCCATCGATGCTTTTCAGAACAAGAATATCTTTTTGGCGTTTAAATAAAGCAGTAGTGGATCACTAAATAGCTCGGTGATTATCACTTCCATCTGTCGAAAGCAGTTAGCGAATAGGCGTGCTAGACCGAGTATTCTACCAAAAAAAATAGAGCTTTATAAATCTAGCAGTTTAATGTTTGAAATAACAATAAAAGTAAGCTCTTTATTAATATCAGGGAAGAAAAAATATTGTCTCTGGCACGAGAAACGCTCTTGATCTTGAGGCTGAATATAAACCTGTCCTGTTTTACATTGCCTTCAAGAAAAGGAGAAGAAAAACTCAATAAAGCTCGCGAGTGTGATGTTGACGTCCCATCTAGCTGAGGTCGGAATAATAAATGAGGTGACAGCCACACGACAGCCCGGAGCTAATTAAACTTATGTTATCCTCCTTCTAGTGTCTACGTGTAATTAAAGAAGGTGTCATATGAAACTCAATGTTAAAATAATAGATAATATTGTTTTAAACTTTCATGGTCACTAACATTATATATAGCTATTAACGGGATTGTTACCGTGTACCTTGTTCCATGATGACGGAGTAACTGATGAGGAACAGTGCCGAATATCGGAGACTCATAAAAAACAAGGTACATGGTAACAATCCCGTTGATAACGTTGATAAGGTAATGTGGATTGGTTTAAATAAAAAAATACCTTGAGGTATGAGGTATTTAAAAGAGGTAGGCCATAGCTGATTTGCCGCTCGAATTAGAGCGCTTATCTGGGGTAATAACCTCCACCTTACAAAAGACAACAGTAAAATAATACTACCTTTAGATGGTGAAGGTGTTCCAGAGCTCCACGGGGTAGGTGATAGGGTCAGGGTAGGCAACAGCGTGAGTGATATTTTTTATGTCGCAATCAGTACCGTCTTTGACCTATTGGAGGCCCTAATATGCCCAATATTAGAATAACGGGGCCCCTATGACTTCCGTTTGGTGATTTAACAGGAACTAGGGACTTTGTATTTGATCTGAGGGGGCCCCCTATCGACCGCGGGGCCCTGGGCACTTGCCCAAAGTGCCCACTGGGTAAGACGGGTCTGGTCGCAATCGTCTATAACTCTATAGGCTATGGTGGCCGCTTACCATGAAGCAGGCCAAATGCTTGTTTGCCACCTTTTCAAACTAAAGTAAAATATTCGTGTCTGTAGTATCAAAAATATTTACACTAACGCCTTCTAAACTATCCCAAGCAATGTTGCTGTTTCTTGAATTAAACCGTAAATTTGCTGCAGGCGCGCGACGCAACGAAACAAATACAAAAGAAAAAGGATGTGGTATTTGTTGAGTGTTTTATTTGTTGAAAAATCTGTCGGAGTAAGGGTGAAATTGAATCAAAATTATAAGTGTGAATTCAGGACAATGCTAGGTCGAACTTTTTGAAAATTTCAATTTGACTTACTGTGGGGGCTTGAAAGGATTAACAATAATCTTATTTCTTTTGCAGTTTTTGCCTCCATCCGGCGGAGGTAATGCGTTTTTATTTTGTTTTCTTTGTCTTTAACTTGTTTTCAATACCCTATGCCCTATACTATTAGCATTTAGGGATTATATAGTATTAGATTAGAAACTAGCAAACCAGTGAACCAAATATTCACGAAAACCTGATTTCTCGAAAACCGGAAGTGCTAACGTTACTCAAATCCGGTTTGTAGTCTTATCAGACTATTCTTAACTTATAACTTAAATATTCTCTTTATCTATCTCTTACGGTTTGGCCGCTGAAACAGCACCACAGACGGACGAACGGACTTGTCTAATAGATAAGAGATAGTTTAAAAAGAGACAAAATAAAGTTTTACGATGTCTGGATTGCAACTATTGGTAACAATTATAGTAATTTATGTTATTTACGGGATTGCTACCATGTACCTTATTTTTAGCGAGTTTCCGATATTTCGGCACTGTTACAATGGCCATGATCACGGAGTTACTCGTGGCGTTTGAATTTAAGGCGTATTTTCACATGGTCGTTAGCCCGTATTAGGGTGCATGAAAAACATCACTCGAACTCGGCCAACCGATGCAATATTTACTTTGTTATTACTCGAACACGTGTTGGATGACAGCGTTGGGTAACCAAAACGAAAACTGTCCGAATCCGGATGTTCTCGACTCTGTTCATTTACACTTAGTCGTTTGTCCGAATTCCATAGGCAACCGTATTCGGGCTAATGCCGAAGTGTGATTGCGCTATTATTCTAATAGGAAATTAGGCCTCCCGTTTTTTTAGTTTTCAATTGAAGAAAGAGTATGAAGAAAGATGATCCCATTGAGTCTTTCTTCCATAAAATGAATGGCCATAAAAATGAAATTATTTCTTACTTTTCTTTAACTTTATTATTTAGTTTATCTTTTTTGCAAGTTATAAAGGGCGGCAAATAAGCGTATGGCCCGCCTGATGGTAAGCGGCCACCATAACTAGGGTTGCCACCCGTACTTTATTACAATGTATTGTACGTTATTTCGGGTAATTGTACTCTAAACTTTATGCCAACAATAAAGTAAGCGAAAATACTTTATTTGTTGTAGTTTGATTACTCGCTATTTAATTTAAATATATATAAAAAAAAAGAATTTTTGCATTAAACGGAATGACAGTATGTAGTATATGTTATGCTCATTCCTGCAACGTTTTCGTGGCTGTATGGCGTTGCACGATGACCTTTTCCATTGCGGAAAAGATATACAGATTTTTAGAAGCCGCAAATTATTTATTAAAAGTTGCTCGAATCACCGTAAAATATTTTTTGACGTGACAACGTCTTAAATTAGGTTGCGGCTGGGAGTCACTTATGAAAAAGTGTAACGCTCGGTAACGTTACGATGAGTCTCTCGTGTTAAGTTTAAGTTTACATGTACAATGTTTTAGTAAACAAAATATATTTCTATAGTTAAAATTTGTGCAATTCTTATTTTCATTCAATTCCTTGTTCCTATTGTGCAATTTAATTATATTCATATCAATAAATATTCTACCGAGAAAAAGACGTTGTCACGTAAAATCTTCGCCCGTAAAACCGACTTTACAGGCAACCATTTTTTAAGCTTACTTATAAAGTGGAATAAGAAGTACTTTATTTTAGACACAATCTACTTTTTTTCTACCTTTAATATCCGAGGTACTTTATTTGGACAAAAAAATCGTGGCAACCCTAACAATAGCCTAAGAAGCTTCTGACACCAAAACTATCACTCGAATCTTACTCACTGACAGAAACACAATACCACCCAAAGTTAGGGTATTTGACAAGTTTTAGAAAACGATCTCACGTTATTGACTAATGTTTATGGAGTCCGTTAAAGTGGATATTCATCA